ATAAGCTGACTGAGCTTATGGCCCCAATCTGTGCAAAAATGTGAGTGTTCATGTGCCTGAAGCTTTGGCTTTCAACCAATTATGCTGTTTATTGTGTTGCATTACCTGCTGTTGCTCTTCTTTAAAAAAGCTTTTCGGAGCTGCCCACATCTGAAGTGCCAGAAAATGTAAATAATATGCAAATAATTTTTTCATCAGCTTTTACATCTTGGGTTTATCATAGAACAGTTCAGTTACGAAGGGATTTTTGAAGGTCTCCCTTCCAACCCCTCTGCAATGAGCAGGGACACCTTCAGGTTGCTCAGAGTCCCGTCCAACCTGACCTTGAGTGTTTTCAGGGATGGGGGCATCTGCTGCCTATCTGGGCAACATGTTCCAGTGTCTCACTGGAACTATATGAACATAAGGTTTGTGTTAGCTGGATGTAAGCCCAACAGCCCAGGGTAATTTCTCCAGCATCTTCTGTCAAGCTCTTTGCTGCAATATGCGTTAAACCTAGGTTGTTTTCCAAAGTTAAGGAGGCAACCAGGTGAGAAAGTTTATTTGCTTATCCTTAGCATTTCTTCCCATCTATTAAACCTACTTAAATCAAACTGTAGTATGCATAACAAAATCATGGTTTACCTGCCATGCCACCTCTCTCATGCCATTAAAAGGGTTAAAAGATATTTTGACCAAGAATCCAAAGGCTGTTTGCTGTTTTCATAGTGTGGCCAGTGTGATGGAGAAATCATATTTTCTGCAGCCAAGGACATATGGAATCAGGGCATTATCCTAAGCTCCAATAAAACTTACAGTGCTTGTGCAAGAAAATCACTCAAGGGCTTCCATTGTGCTCTGATGTATAAACCATGAGTAACAAAACGATCACAGGGCTTTCCCCAGCCTTGGGAAATGCATAAGCAGGCTGTTGAGGTGATGGTGTTTGGGAAAGAGGAATAAACTGGCTTCCACGTTTGGAAGTCCTCCTATAGAGGTGATGGTAAACACATGGGAGTACCTCTCTCTTGCATGGTGCTATTTAGCGCACTTGCTACGACAGCCATGGGTCTGGGTGAGGCAGCCACCACCTCTCTCCTTACTTGTGCCCTTGGCTGCCCCAGCACTGCTCCCCGAGCTGCGCCAGGCATTCAGAAGAGCACCAACGAGGTGGTCTTTCCACATTTGCTCTTTTCTGCCTAACCTGCCTGACGTGCTCTTGGTCCTTCAGAGGTGATGCTCCGCAGTGCAGAGCAGGGCACTGGAATCAGGGCTCTGCATCCCCAGAAAGCTTCACCTCTGGAAGAGCTCTTTGCTGCCAGTTCACCTGTGCATGCTGCTGGGGTGGGAAGTATCTTTCACAGGGCAGGAATCACCCCAGAAGAAGGAAGGTTTGCTGAGACTGTCTTGTAGGGACCCTTTCACCCCCTCCAAAAAGCATTGTAGCTTCTTAAACGGCCATATCCCTCCTCTCACAATGAGGGTACCCCCTTTCCAATGCTTCCAGGACTTTCCACTCCCTGCCTGCTCTGTGCCCTCCCCAGGGAATGCATGCCATGGGCCCAGCATCAGCCCCTTCACTCTGCTGTTCTCTCTGGCTAAACAAGAAATAACAATAAATCTACCAGACCTAGGCAGGGGAAGACTTTGATTTCTCCTGTGTTTTATTTTGCTGCTGCTGCTCTTTAGCAAGATGTCTGGAGAGCTGAACTGTGGATGAGAAAAAAACAGTGGTGCTTGGTGGGGCTCAGGGACCTAATAACTTTGTCCTTCCCCAGGTCAGCGCTATTTCCCTGTAGCTTTGTGGAAATGACTTCTCCTGGTGCTCTGTGACGAAAAGTCCTTCTTAATGTGCCGTTGGTGAACTGCAGTAGCCAGCAGGACAGTTTTGGAGGGGAGGTATTTTGAGTTTTAGTCTGGTTTTGTTCTTTTGTACTTTGAGGGCATGGACAGCAATTAGTGCCTCTCTTGTGCTGGAGCCCTTGCTCACGGGGAGCCGTGGTCCCCGTTGAAGGTGGGTGAAGGGATGCGGGGAGGATGCGGGGAGCAGGGGAGAAGCCCTGCAGCTCTGGCACAGGCCGGGCAGGGGATGTGCTGCACAGAGGAGGACTTCACGGGCCAGGGGCAAGGGAGCCTCAGGCTACGAGAGCAGGAGCAGCCGGGCTGGAGAGCCCTGGGTGCTGGCAGCCGCTAGGTGACACCAGCTCACCGGCCGCCGCCGGCTGCGCGGAGGGAGCCGCGCTGGCTCCGCTGCCGCAGGAGGAAGGTGCGGTGTGGCAGTGAGGGGAGCTTGCGGTTCGGCGCTCTGTGATAGAGGGACCGTGGTTACAGGTAGCACGCACCAAGCATGCTCAGAGCAAGTCTCCATTAGTAAGAGAATAACCAGGGATGGTGCTGTGCTGCTTTTCGGCAGAGAGGGGAAACGCTGGGGGCAGCCACTCTTTGGTACACTTTTGCATCGGGGAAAAGGACAGCACAGGCCCTGCAGGTGATGGGGGCTAGAAATCTGGGCCTCGAATAAGGAAAGCCCAAGTAAGAGAGTACTTAGATAAACAGAATTTTTTCAGATCTACTGGGAGTGGTGAACATCATGCAGAGCAACCCCAGAAATAGTTGCTGTTATCTGGGAGAGCTACTGCAGGACACTGAGGCATGGGAAGACTGTAAAATGCAAGCTTTGTACCCCTCCTTTGAAATGGGGACTGGGGTCAAAAGCCAGGAACTGCTGACAGTTAAATCCTTCACCCATCCACCCACCCACCGCCCAAAAAATGCTGACACAAAGAATCTCATTACTTGCAAGCAGTGTAGATGAGCAGGGGCCATAAGGATCTGCCAAGAGCAGAATCTGGTTTGATCTTCTTCTATGGCAGGGTAAGAGTACGGTGAAGAGTCCTGGCTGCTATTTAAGTGGGTTTTAAGGATGATGTAGATTGGATATTGGGTAGATACTAAACCCATTGGATAATTATACCCAGAAAGTCATCTACGGTTCACTGTTGAAAACGGAGGGGTCTGTTGAGTGAAGTTCAAGGACATCTGTTTTGGATCTAGTTTTGTTCAGCATTTCCATTAATGTCCTGGATGATGGAGGAGAATGTGCATTTGCTAAATGTGCAGATTGGGACGTATCCAGTGACAAAGTTACTTGCCTAGCAGGTCTTTAGAACAAGCAAGACTCTGCTAAAAACCACCTGCTTGGGTTGCAGTACCAAGGAGGTACAGCTAGGGAGGTACTGGTGACTTGGAGAGGTCCTGAGAAAGCCTGTAGGACACCTGCTGTATTTGTGCTGGACCAGAGAGCATGATGTCCATGTCCTGGACCCATGGGGAGGAAGCCAAAATGTGGGAGGCTGTACTGGCTCAGCTGCATCAGGAAGGCAGGTGCATTTGGAAAGCAGAGGACCTCTCCCGGAGCTCTGCTGCCAACTTGCTCATGTTGTTATTTGCTGTTGGCCGTCTCTGGTGTCTGCACCAGAGTTTTCTGGAGGTTGTGTCATTTATTTGGTGCCACTGTACAAAGCACTCTCAGCTCACAGCTGGTGTGTGTTTCCCCATCTGGTCTGGATACTACATGGTGCAGTGACGTTGACCACAGAAACAGACCCCACCATCTTCTCCATACAGGATTGGGAAAAAGAAACCTGAACAAACTAGCCAGCCAGCAGAGCCATTGGCCACATGCACCAGCTGCCTCATGTGGGTAGTGACTGAGTCTGTCCTGCTCTGGAATCAGACTGGTCAGGGGTAACATCAATTCGAACGGTAATATTAAGATGATGTATGTGTTTGGTGGGAAGGCTGCTAGATGGAGGCTCCAGCTCAGAGCAGTAGCACTGCCTGCCAGTGGCAAGGTACAATCCAGGTTACAATGAACGGTCTTGTCTCAGATGTGCTACATCTGTGTTTTAGATGTTTATGCTTGATCTTTGAGTGCCCTTTGCAGACAGGGTTGTGCTTCCAGTGGTAGCTGTTTCAGTGCAGGCTAATTTGGCTCCCTTGTTTTGGATTAGCTCAGAGTAAAGAATAATTTTGTTACAGTGAAGTTGGACTAACATTGGTGGCTGCTTTCAGCATCTGCTCACCAATACCTTCAGTAGCAGCTGCTCCCTGTGGAACAGTCTTTGGCAAGGATTGAGTGGTTCATATGCTTTGCTTGTGAAGAATCTCTTACTATGTTCTAGTAAGGATCCCTTCTGAGCAAAGAACTTTCTTCCTCTCCGCATGATAAGAATATATAAACCTAGTTTATACCAGGTTTGCTTGTCCCATTCATTCAAATAAGATAGTTTGTTGTGATGATGTATTGGGTTTGGGGGGTTTTGTGTGTTGGTGTTTTTTTGCCTTTGTTTTTCCTGAGAGGAGAGTAAGATATAAGGACTGTGCTTTCCCCTTGGAGCATATGCCTGGTGAAGAGAAAGGAGGCTGCACTGGGTAGGGATGTCCTGCTCCTCTCCTACCTGTGGAGCTTCCTTGGGCCCTTGGGGCAGCCAGCTGCATCCCTCCGCACTGGCTGAAGCAGCAGGATCCCATGGTGCTGTACATCTCCAGAGAGCCACTGATTTTACAGCTTTCCCAGCAGAAATTGCACCAGGGCATGCTAGCAGCGGGACAGGATAGCAGGGCGGGTTGCTGCAGCTGGTCTCTCCCCTGGGAATGGCTTTTTGGAGCAGGAGTGCCTGGAGGCACTTCCCTATCCTGGCCTACCAGGAGCCCAAAGGCACTGGCCCCATCCAGCACAGTGGGGAAACCTGAGCCAGGAGAGGCTCAACCTTCCTGCTGCAGTGGGTGCATGCAGGCAGGGAGCGGGGTGAGGGGGGGCTTGGTTTCCCCTTCAAGCTGTGACTGTGGCTTTTCCTGTCCTGCGGGATCAAGTGTTTGATTTGTGAGCGAGGAACAGAGATGGCTCCTCCAAACCTCAGGCCTCCTTGTGCTGATATTCCCAAGGATGCTTGCTTCCACCTGGGCTGCTGGCTCTTTATTTCAGTCTTCAGACGCAGGTTCATGCTCTCAATAACCAGACAGGCAGATGCCTTAAAGGGATTGTGCCAACTTTTATTTTATTATCTTGTTTGGAAATGGGATTTGGAGAAGGGAAGGAAGGGAAGATGTGCAGGGGGTAGCTGATTGTTGCAAAAGGGGATGCTTTGGATGCACACTGGCAAAAGTGTTCCTGTCTGACTGGAAATGACTGAAGCAGTAAAGCATGACAGGCAGGACGTTGCCTCAGTGGATGTGCTTGCTTTATGGGGTTTTTGGTTTTAAGGTCTACATTGTAAATTATTTCATGTACAAAACAAAAAAGCATGTTTTAATGTCTATATATGTATTTGTATATATAGGAGATATATACACACACATATTCTTACAACTCCCAGGTCCTAAAGTCTTCAAGTCTGAAGGGCTATGTGTATATATGCATTATAAAGAACAATGCCAACCGACTGAGACAAGGCTTTCTTTACTGGCTGTGTGATAAATATGTGGGCAAGATGTCTCCATCTGAAATCTTGCATGTGTGCAGGAAGAAGGGGTCATCCAAGCACCAAATGGCAGCCTGCATTGCCCTGTTCCTAGCTGTTCCCTTGTGGGGCTCAGAGGGGCAGATAGAAACACATTCAATTCTGCTGCCCATGGGTCAGGCACCCTACACGTCGGGGCTCCTATTTCCCTGTAGGGCTTCCAGTAGACTGTTTTGGTTTCTTTACCACAAAGGAGAAGGTTTGGTGGGCAAAGAGGGGAAGGGGTTTGGGAAGGGAAATACAGTCAAAATTCACCATACGATAGTTAGACAAATCTTCATCAAGGTCCGTCTGCCTGCTCGCCTCTCATTCTTGCTCTCTCGCTGTCTTGCTCTCCTGCGTTCACTCCCATTCTCTGCAGTACGTACGCTGTTGTAGGGCTAAAGGTCTCCTTTTGTCAGGCTAAGGTCAAGTCCCTGGTTGGCGGAGGGCAGCCCTTCATACGGGCCTGTCTACGGCATATTGGCAAGGGCTCAGATTGGAAGCTGCCGTCTGCACTGCCGGGTAGGTGAAGTTAGCGTGCTGCTTGGCCTTCAGCCGCAGGCTGGCCAGGCTGGAGTTGCATGTGTCCCTGTACATGTAGGGGCTGGCTGTTGAGGCGTAAGGACAGGCACTGGATGAGACAGCAGAGTTGAGGCTTGGGCTATTCAGGTTGTTGATGTTTCCCAGGTTGTTGAGGCTGGAGGCTGGTACTCCGGTCACTGCAGAAGGGACCATGGATGAGGGCATGGTCATTGAGGTGATGGAGCTGGGTGGGGAGAACATGGGCTGGGAGGAGAGGGGACTGACGTTCATGGAGTTGAAGAATGGGAAGCTTTTGGCTGAGAGTGGGCTGGTGGCAAGCCCCTTGGTGGCCCAGTTGTTGTAGGAATAGCTGGAATACATGTCATCGTAAGGCTGCATCAGTCCATTGAACTGGGCTCCGAAGCTGTTCTTGCACAGTTCGGCCTGTTGGTTCCTCTCCCGTTTCCTCCACTTAGCTCTGCGGTTTTTGAACCAGACCTGTGAGAGAGAGAGGGAGGGGATGGGAATCACTCCAGGCTGTCCCTGGAAGGGGCCTTGCCCTGGTCTCTTTGCCCAGCAAGGCAAGAGCTTTTGTAGGGCTGGGGATGCTCCCCGGGAGCTGTGAGACTGAGCATGAGGAAAGGGTTGCAGCAAGATGTCTGGGCTGCAGGGTCATCTCCCAGCAAGAATCACCACCTTGATCAAAGCCCAGCCACTGCCATTTTACAACCCAAAGAATAACCCACCTCACTCAACCAACAGATGCCCTTTGTATGAGGAAAAGGGAGGAAAATACTTGCTGTATTTCTGAGTGACCACAGCCCAGGAGGAACAGTTCGGGTTGTGTGAGTTGGGAGCAAAGTATTTGCGGGATGTCATTTGAGAGCTGCTGAGTGGAGGAAATAACCTCTCTTGTTTTAACTTCACTTCAGGACCAGCTCGGGGTGAGGTGTTAGAAGTCTGTCTCCTAACAGGAAAATCTGTTGGTGGTGGAGTGACTCAAACAATGTAACTTCCTAGAGCATGGAAGCTGCTGGAAGGCTATTGATGGTGCTGCTAACTCATATTTCTAGTAGCAGAGAGAAGCTCTGATTCCAGCTGGAGCTTTGCCACGCTATGCCTGTGACCACACAGTGGTTTGGGAACCCCAAAGAGTGACCTCCAACAAGGCTAAGGCTGGGGGACAATGGCACTGCAAGGAAAGGGTCTGCTGGGTCAGGGCAGCAGCTAGTGGGGTTCTGTGGGGCAGACCCTGGACTTTGCACCTCTCTATGTTATTACAAGGTGGCACTGGATGGGAACACACTACCAGCATGGAGTACGTATGTGGCTGATGTGTCAAATTTTAGAGCTTGGTGAGGTGTTTCTAAGATAGGAAATTTTCTGGTGCCCCTAATTACTTCCTTGGTTTGTGGGGAACATGGTGGCTTGTATCAGAGCTGCCTTCCTCCCCACCAGATGAGGCCCAGGAAGGTGGGAGGGCCGCAGTCCTACCCGCACTCGTGCCTCCGTCAGATTGGTCCAGACTGCAATCTCCTCCCTGGTGCTCATGTCTGGGTAGCGGTTTCTCTGGAAAGTGGCTTCGAGCTCCTGGAGCTGCTGGCTGGTGAAGTGCGTCCTCTGCCGCCGCTGCTTCTTCTTGAGTGAGCCGTCTTCAGGGTTGGAGTCGTCCGTCTGGTTTTGCTGGGACTTCTCAGTGTCTGCAAGAAACAGAAAGATGGGAGAGATCTCCTGAGTTAACTTGGAGGCTTAGATGCATTTGGAGAGTCCGTCCTTGGGGCAGCCAGTGCATGCCAGGTCCCCATCTGCTGTGGCCACCAGCAGCTCCAGCTGCACCTACAGGCGTGGTCCCATCTCCCTCCCTTGCCCTTGTGAGCAGGCATCCACCCTGCACCAAAACCAACAGCCCCTTGCTGCAGCACAGCTTGCTCTTGTTTAACTGCCGTAATGGATGTCAGCTTCCAAGTGACTGGACTTGGATCTCCCAGGCTTCCAGTCTCTGGTTTTCATTGGTCACAGTTAAGGTAGAAGATAGTGACAGAACTTACCCAGGCCAGCAGGTTCTTACTCTGCTTAAAACTTTCTGCCTAGGTGCCCTTCAGAAAAAGTGAACAGAAACTGGCACTTACAGCAAAAGATCCATAGAGGTTTTAAGGACAAATAATGGGAAAAGGCAAACTGCCAATGATAGCAGGTTGAGGCTCTTAAAAATTCATGCTTCTCAGATTTAGTTATTTTGTCCTTCCTCCCTTCTTCCTCCTCTACCTTCTTACTTGGGTGCACATCCATTTCTTAAAAGTAGGAAAAGGCTTACTTACTAACTCTTAGAACTTATCATGAAGTACTCCAACATCTCCCTGTCCTTCCACCGCACCCTCCTAGATCCCCTTCCTAGAAGCAGCATCTTTCATTCTGTGGCCCTTAACTGAACATCCTGAAACTCTCCAGTGGTCAGCTGGTATCTAACTGAAAGTACAGGTCAGCCTCCTCCCAGGTGTTAAACCCAGGCCTTAACTCTGAGCTTTGGGCTGCTGTGGCTGGAGGTGGGCATCAGGTACTTCCCTGTGCCACTGCCCCTCCTGGGGCTGTCAGTACTCTGCAAATGGGCACAAGGCAAATATAAACATCTTCCATTGTCAGAAGAAAATGTCACATTTGAGCACTTGAACAATGGAGGACAACTATAGGGAGGAAAGATACAGCTTGTGTTTAATTCTGCTGGGAACCAAGGTAAGTCACCACAGAACCACTTTATTCCGGAGAAAATAAGTAGCTTGTGATGTTCACCACCTTCTTCTTTTGACCTAGAAGCACAGTGAAGCAGTCCCAACTGAAAATCAAGGATTTCTTGTGGGGGGAGAGGTGTTGTTTTACAGTGGGAAATACTCAGCTAAACTAAGTAGAAATTACTGCAAAGTTACCAAACTGTTGCATCTGGAAGAAAACCTTTAAAAAATTCTGGCATCACTCTGGTGAGATTCAGATTAAAAGTATTTCTTGTTTGGTTGGAATTTTTAAGTGGAAGTTAGCCTAAAAGGCTTCAAAGTCCAGAAAAATCCTAACATGAAAAGTGTATCCAGCCCCTTAAAAAGCAGGGAGCCAAGAAAACAGTAACCTGGAATACAGCTGGGTGAAGAAAAATAACAGGGTTCCTCAAGTCAGACAGATATGCTCTGGAAAAATATGCCTCATGAAAGCTAAATGGAAAAGAGAAAGCTTATAGGGAGAGGCTGAAAAGCACCTGAGCCCCAGGAGAGAAGGGTCTCTTCTTCAGGGCTGTGCTGTACCCAACAGCAGGTGCTTTAACGGAGCCCAGCCCTGAGAGAACCTCGTGCCCCAGGAACCTGGTGCCACTATTCTGATCTGTGTTAATTCAGAAACCTCTTCCTGCTGTTCCAGGGAAAACCCTCCCTGCCCTCCTCCCAAGGGAGCAATGCTGGAGTCACAGGGAGCATTTGCAGGAGAGGCACACATTCTTCATGAAGGACAGCAAGGTGCAGTCAGAAAGGGTTTGTTTCTATGGGTAAGCATTGCACTGACTGAAGCAATGTGGGTTCCCCGCAGGGTCCCCACCAGCCACCTCCACTTCTGTGGCACATTTAATGTTAGCCACCAGCAGGAAAGCCAATGCAAGGAGAGTGAGCCGGCTCTGGTCTCATACTCTCCTTGTTCCCATGAGCATCTTCACATGGGGATCCCATGTTCAACAGAAGTCTTGGAAGAATGCTCTTAACTTTTTAAGATCCATTTCTATAGTGGTTCTTGCCAATGAGATAAATCTGATTCCTCCAGCTCAGTGCTCTAAGCCAGTGTTGGAAGAGGGAGATTCCTGCATTATCCATCTCTAAAACAGATTAAAAGCGGAGTGATGCCACTGTGTCTGAGCTAGTTATTAGAAATGGCTCAGTACAGATGAAGAGACAACATTTGGTTTGTTTGTTCATCTGCTGAGTCTGGGTTAATTAAGAGCCTGATGCACACAGGAGTTGTTCCCACAGGAGCCCCTGACAAATGCGCATTTCCAAAGGGGCTGCTGCGGAACAGAGGCTGTGCTTTCATCAGGAGCTCCTGATGAAGGACTGCCCTTCTTCATTGCAGGAAGAAACTACACTGAGGGGGAAGGAAAATGGAGCAAAGGTACCACTGGCTTATAGGCTGCAAGTGGGTGGATAAGCTCACCAAGTGTCTTGAGTTATTACTGCTCTTCTCTATGCCTTCTGGTGTAGAACTTTTCATAGATCTTGTGAAGTCCAAGGAGTCCTGACTTTGAATCTGGAAAAATCTCTGCAGCTACAAATTCTTCTTTTTGATCTCTATTTCTGTACCTGCTACCTGTGGCTCTTTCTGAGCATTGCTTATAGGCAGCATCATCTCTGTTTCTGCTTCTTCTATAGGCGGGGGAGAAGTGCCCTCTGCAAATGGTGCAGAGCTTGGGCATTGCAGTGGGGACCAGAAGCATGGTAATACAGGGAAAAAAGGGACCTTGCAGAAACAATGGGCCTTTTGCTGTCCTGAATCCATATTGAGAAGCAGAAAGAATATAGGGAGATGCAGGGCAGCTTCTCACCACATCCTACTTCATTGTTGCTCTCCCACTGACCTGTGCTGCCTGATGAAACCTAATGGAAGGGGGTGTCACACACCACACCATAGAAAGCACTTGGGAAGTCAGACAGCTGAGCCCAGACAAGCAAGGTTTGTGCTCCCTTCCTCAGGATCTCTTACACTGCAGGTGAACGAAAGAGAGGAGGAGAGAAGAGAGGCAAGAAGTGCCAGAAGCGCAGCCCTGCCCTGGCCTGGCCTGGGCAGCCCTTGGTGGTGCGCTTTGCTCTGCCTGACATCGGTGCCCACCAGCCTCTTTGTGCAGGTAGCGCTGGAAGACACCCACCTCCCAGCACCATTTTATTTCTAGACCAAGGCAGTGGTGAGTGACGTAGCCAGGCACCCAGCATTTTATTGTCATCCCAAAATAGACTGTGGAATATATCTTGCGCACGTTCACCCACTCAATGAAACGACTGTGGTCATATCTGGAATTAGCTGTTCATGCCTAATGGAAAAAAAAGGCAGCTCCTAAACTGGCAGCTCTGCGGCGTGCCAGGGTGGGCTTGATCGTTAAGGCCACTTGAATGGGGATGACCGCCGTGCATCCAAAGCAGCTGATGAGGAGCCACTGAGCTTGGTTGGGGATGTGCCCAACTAAGGTATGTGTGCAACGAGGAATTCGGCGGGTGGATTCTCTGACCATAGTTATTCCAGCCTAACTCCCTTCATGATACTCACTCTGGGGAATTTTAACCTGCATCATTATGCTTATTAGCTTTTGCCTGTGGGTGAGCCTGAAGGCTTTACACGGAGAGCAGCAGGCTGTCCACAGCCCTCACCTCCTCTCGTGCTGGCACTGGCAGCTTTGGTTGTCCTGCTGCACCCGGAGTAACAAGGGATGGAGCAGTCACAGGGCAGATGCAAAATCCAGGGGAAGCCATGGTGTTTGGTAGCTGATTTCTGAGCCAGGTGTGAATAGTGATGTTCCTACTTCAGAGCCTGATAAAGAATGTGGTAGGCCTGGGGTATGTTCAGCCTTTGGGAATGGTCAGAGGCACCTCCCTGAGACATCAGCAGCTCACTGTGGAGCCTTGCACCACGGCACAGGTAAGCAGGCTGTTTCAATTAAAGCAAGGGCATGACAGTACTTCTCTTCCTTATTGCCTGACCCCGGGAAGTTCAGCCCAAGGTTAACCTGTAGCATGGAAAGTTTCAACCTAAGCAATTTAAGCACAGGCTTTTTAAAAAGCAATCAAACGAAACAAAACAAAGCCAGTTTCAAACTAGGTTTCATCCCCTTCCGAGATGAGATCTCCCATATTGCAGGCATTGCTCTCCTGCTCTGGGGACCTGGCTTAGGCACATACAATGAAATCCTGGTTGGCCAGTGACCTGGCTTGCCTAGCTCCTGCCTGCCATGGCTTCCTGCCTGGGCCCAGGCAATCTGATCACTGGGATGGATCTCTTGCCTTCCCAATGGCTGTCCTTGTGATATACGCCCCTGCACCTTCCCCCTGATTGCTGGGATGCGGTGCTGCCGCAGCACCATGCTGGCTCATGGTACAAGAGCAAGCTCAGTGGTTCCCCAGGAGCACCACATCCAGCTCCTGCAAGCCATTGGCCACGTGGATCCACCTGCAAGGACAGGTTGGAGCCTTTGCATCCTGAGCCTTGCACTCACCACTGTGGTCCTGTCCTTTGCAGCTGTGCTCGTGTTGAGGGGTTCCAGAGTCTGAGAGAGACAAGGCTGGGCTGCGCGCCTCTGCATCTGCCAGCAGGTTGAAATCCATGGGGCAGGGATGGCTGGCAGAAGAGGTGGAATCTGAAAAAGCAGTAAACACAGAGGGATTAGGGAGATGGATCTCTTGTGTGACCTCTCCCTAGCTCCTCTGGGAGGGACTTGCCAACCCTTCCGGAAAGGTCTAGGAAAAGCAAAGGATCCCTGTGTCATCCTTGGACCCCTTAGAGTTTCCTAGCTGGAAAATGGACATGCCAGGCTTTCTCTTGAGCTTCCCTATAAATCAAAGATCATCTAGTGACACTTCTATTTGCAGCCTTCAGAGAAAGAGCCTGCAATTTATAGGTGACATTCAGACTGAAATAGCAACACCAGGAGCATGCTGTGTAATGGAGATCTGAGGAAGTGCTTCTGGGCCAGCCGAGGGCTGTTAGCACCTTCCCCAGACATCCTACCTCTCCCATCCTCCCTGCCTAGCTTCCCTCCTCTTTCTCCCTTGCTTCTCCACAAACTAGTCAAGCCCAAGTACCGCTGTCCATACAGCACTAATGCAGATGTACATGCACTCATCCCAAAAGAAAATCACTCCTGTGCATGGTACTGATAGGAAGACATGTCTGTCTGCACAGCCACTACCTTGAGCAGGGACTCAGGCAGTGCAAGTTGATTCCTTCAGGGTACATAAGGATCTCTGGAGCCTGAATTAACACAGGAATCACATTACACACCCTTGGGTGCCTGGGAATGAGCGATCCCGGCTGCAGCACCAGCTCGCTTCCAGCCTTAGGTCATCCTGGCTGAAGGCCAGCCTCAAGTGACCATACTGTGCCTGTGAGCCATCTACCGTGGCTGAAAGCATCCCCGCTGGTAAGCTGGTGGCACCACTACAGGCACCACTGGGACTCCTCTACCACCTCTTTCCACATCTCTCTGTCCCAGGATCAATTGTTCTCATCATGCTCTTCCTCAAGGCCACTGCACCCTCCACCTGTATTGCCCAGAACTCAGAGCCAAGAGCACTGCTTTGTTCTTGCCCACGCTTGGACACTCATGAAGAGGTAGGCATGAGGCAGTAGGTGCTACAAGTCCAGCCACATCACCTTGGAAGGCTGAGCTGGCCCTGTGTTAGCCCTCAGTCTGAGTTTCAAGTCACAACCCTGCCACATACAGGATAATGCATTGCTACCAATGCAGCTGTAAAAGTTTGTAAAGGCTGGACTGCTTCGAGGGGACCACAGCAGCTCCTGAAACTCTAGTCACTCCAGCTAATACCTTCCCAGCTAAGGAGCCTCTCTAAAACAGAATAGCAGCTGAGGCACCATGCCTGGATCTGGGATCCCTGGGTTTAGGGGGGTTTGGACCAGGTGTTGTCAGTTGTGAAGTCTGGATTCTAGCTGGTGAAGGATTGCCTGGCCCCTCAAATCCATGTGTGTCAGGGAGGCAGCCTGCTGAAGGCAGTATTTCATCTGGACTGCACTAGCATTTAGACATGTAAACAAGAGATTAATCACATAGCTGTTGCACCTCCTTTGGAGGTGGATGACAGTGACTAAGAATGTATTTTCAGAGCTGTCTAAAACCTCCTGTCAATTTGAGCAGGGCTGCCGCCAGGGCCCTTGGCAAGGCTGACCCCCATACCTGCAGCATGCTTTCCAGGCTGTGGTGAGAGGGCAGGGAGCCATTTCTAATGGTTATCCGCCTGGCTTATGCAGCAGATGTCACTCACAATCCCCCAGCAGTTTCCCTTGCTCTCCCCTTCGCTTGACCTCCATCCCCAGCCTTTCACAGGTGCTGATGAATCCATCTCTACACTGGCCTCAATCAGTGTTCTCCAAAAGCAGTATCTAACAAATGGACCTGGTGTCAGTATCCCAGACCTTTGCCTCCCTCCGGACTTCTGTGAGAGAGAAGTGGCAAGGGTTCTGTCTTTGCTGTGAGGCTGCTTTCTATTTCTACCTCACAGCAAGCCTGACCTCTGATGCCCACCAGCTGTATAAGCTCCTGGCAGCGGCAGGGCACAGCCCTGTTGCTTTTTGCCATGTGTATGTACATGAAGTGATGTGACAGGGGCTGTGTTTTCTTTAATACCTTTGCATGGAGTAGGGGAAGTCCATCTGCTGCTGATATTGCTATGGCTTTTAGTATTACTCTCAGAATTATGCAGAAACGCGCAGTGAATTAATTCCATGGATTAAGTCTTGATTAAGATGTGTGTCACTTTGCTGTCTCAGAATTTATTAAGAGCCCTTCTTGAGGCAGCGGCAGATGGAATTTCTGCCCAATGTTTGTAGATGATAATTTCCCCTCTTCTACAGCCATTTGCATATGATTGCATCTGTCAAGCACAATTTCCTCTTTTCTAGAGCTTGACTCTGTACTGGACCAGATTTAAGGAGGAATTCAGACTCTCGCCTTGCTGTAACTGAAGGACAGTGTCCTCCTGTGCAGGGTCCTCTTTGGTTTGAGAGTCCTTTTGCATGTCTTGCATTGCGTTCACCTATGCAAACTGGAGTGGGGTTGGAAAACGATGGAGGAGTATTTTACAGCTGGTTTCACAGGTGTAAATGACAGTACGAGGCTCAAGGTACATTAAAAATTCATTCCCCATCCTGAACCACACCATTGCAGTGATTACAAGGTTGATCCAAGCTGCTGAGCACAACATAATGTGCTTGGCCTGCCTCAGAGAAGCAGTGGGCACTAGATTAACAGGTTTTACAGTGTGGCCCATATTCAAATTGAAACTGGGACTTGTGGCTATGAACAAGTTTGCTTTTTGAACTGAATTTTAAACTAGGAGGATTTCAGAGAAGATCTTATATATATGTAATTACATACCTATCGCATGTGGCCTACACGGTACCTTCAAGGCAGGCTTTCTCAGCTTGCTGTAAGCAGTTCACAGAGAATCAAAAGCAAAAGGAGAGGGGGATCTGCTCAGCATGGTTATGAAAGCAGGAAAAGTCTGCAGTGGGGACAGCACGTGAGCTCTGTACTAATGTATTTACCCAAAGGCAATCCCATGCCACTGACACAAAAGGCTGTAGGTATTACTTTAGATTATACAGCCTTTTTGGGTTTAATTAAAGGAGCTTTCTTCCATGCTGGCTAGATTTCACTGTAGGCAGAGACATTAAGAAAGTCAACGCTAAACCTTCATTGCATTACTACTAAGTTGTTTGCTTTGTCTCAGGGAGTTACTGAAATTGCACCTCAAAAACATCGTTAGACAAGATCAAATCTATCATTTCCATCTGAGTCTTTGTCTCACTAACATAAAACAAGGGTTTCTTTAGGGACAGCTCCTGTCCCAGCAACATGCAGCCAGGCTTGCTCAGAGGTTTCAGTTTCATAAAAGTAGCCCTGGCTCCTACCTTGCTCTGGCACCTCAATCTTCTTCCATCAACGTACACAATTGCCCCAAAGATAAAGGTTCCCAAATCTGTAACGTACACACCTTTTCTTCCAGTCACTGCATGTGTGTATTCTCTCCCTGGCTCCCATACAACAGTGCCGGCAGCACAGGTCCCTCCAGCTGGACTGGGGGCTTCCGTCCCTGCCCCACAGGCACAGTGCAGGCAAGCGAAAGAGAGCAGCTCTGGCTCTAGGCTTTTTCTCCTTCCAAATTCACCCCCTTCCTATTTCTGGGTCAATGCTAGCCTCCCCAAGACAAGGACGCTGGGGCAGGAGGGGGAGGGCACTTCTATAGGGGAGGACAACCTTGTTTACCTAAAAAGAGCAAGCAAGGGTCCCCCTGACCTCTCTCCTGCTTCTCAGTAACACACTGCTCCATCACCCAGGAGCAAAGATGCCTTTGCTTGTTTTTTTTGGAATGGGTGGGAAGGAAACGTAAATGCTGACTGTGAGCCAAGGGAGGCTAATTATAGTGGCGGCTTTTGTGATGTGGAAATTGCCCGCTGAGAGCTGCCTTCGGAGTGACAAGTGCGTGCTGCTCAACTCTCCGCTACCAGGAGGGAGCAGGTACCTGCTGAACCTCTTTCATCAGGTCAACCTGGAGAAAAAAAGCTATCTCATGCTGTTTTGATGTTATTTGGTTTCCATGGGCATGCAGTGATGCTTCAGCACAGACATGACAGCTGGGGTCCCTAGGCAGCCACACATGGACCACTGGTGACCCACTGGTAGGAGGGAAGCGCACCTGGCTTCACTCCCTTTGGCAGATCATCATAGCCCTGTGGACCTGTGAGCTTCCCCCATTGCTTGTGTCTCTGTCCAGGGCCATGAAAGCTGCAGTCTCTGCTTGGGATTGCTGATCTCCACAAAGGGTTCAGGGTTATCCCTCAGGCTGAAAGGTGCTCTGCAATCAGTTATGGGGGGTGGTGTCTTCTTTCTTTCATCCCCTGAGGTGAAGGGATGATGTTACACTAGATGTCTTAGGGTCAGAGCTGTCTCCTTCTGCTCCATCAATCCCAGAAGTCAAACTGCTGGGAGTAACTAGATTCCCAATGGAGTCTGGCTGATTGCTTCACTCCTCTCATGCTCACGTTCCCTGCATGCTGGCTTACTCCTAGCACTGATAAACATTTGGGACTCTATTTAACTGTACGTTTTCGAGAAGATGATCTGCCTCTGTACTTTGGTCCCCAGGAGGGGATGAGCTAAGTTGGAACAGTCCTTGCCACTTCCTCTGCCCTGTGTCAAAGGGTGCCTGTAACCTCCTGGAAGAGCACTTTGTTCTCCGGATACATGCATGTGTTCAGGGGATGGTGCTATTGGAGCGCCTGTGGGCTGGGATTTCAAGTGCCACAGCTTGCACAGCACATGAATAGCACAGTGACCTGAGAGTCAGGCTCTCTTTGCCTGCAGACACGAATGCTGACTGCAAGGGGTTCTTTCCCTGCAGCTAGAAAGCAAAAAGGATGGGATGCAAAAGAAGACTTCATTTCCTCAAGAATATAGAAATACAACTGCAGGGAGACCAGGGTGACCCACTGCTAAACATCTCAGTGTAGCTTTAAGTCTCTAATCTTAATGGAATTGCAGCAGGAACCAAGAGCGACCATTAATCACTGGAAGATAAACAGCAGCAGCCAACTGGTGACCCAGAGCACAGAGCCATTACA